ACTTTAGGGCTATCAGCTCGCTTCCCTCAGCTGATGATTGTCCCCATGTGAGTGACAGCAATACCACTTGCCGGGGCTTTGCTTCCGAGGACATCAGTGCAGCCTCGTGGGCAGAGCTTGGACCCAAAGTGGAGCCTCTCCCCTGACCTTCGGGAGTGTGGAAAACACACACCTGTTTTCCCTGCACCTTATACCATCTGATCTCCTTGGAGACTCTCCTGTGTACAACTCACCATTCTCCTGCTACCTCTTCTACTCCCGTAGCTGTTTCTTTCTACAGTAAACCAATGTCAAAAGTAGTATCTGTACAGGGCAGGTGTCGGGTGGGGGTCAGCAGCGACTGTGCTTTGGGTACTGGACATTTGCAGACCTTGGTCAAGTGGGATCCCAGGGCCTGAGTGTGCACTGCAGTAGTGTTGGGAGAGGCTAAAGCTGGGAAGTAATTACATGTGCAGGATGAAGCCAGCCTGAGAACACAGGAGCTCCTCGAAGCACGTAAACAAGCCCGTGTAGCTTGTTAACTGATTGCTGGGCAGAGAGGCTGAAATTAATCAACCTCTCGAGGGTATACTAGAAACACTCTACTGTTCTTGGGCAGTTCCCCTCCTCCACTCGGGAGAGAGAGGACCGCCACCTGATCCCAGCTTTTTGTTTCTTGTCTCCTCATTCTTGCTGCCATTCCTTCCTGGGGTACAGCAAGAACCCAACAAATCCGTACACAGTAGTGGTGTGGGGGGAGATACATGCAGGTCCTATGGGTGCACATGAGGGCTGGGAAACAGGCCCTTTCTTGTTATACAACTGGCCATTGGGTGTATGGCTTTGTAACAAAGACTTGGAGGCTATTTTTACTAAAAACAGTGACTCTTCATATGGGCCTGCAAATGTCCAATGAGTACCTAAAAGCAGGATTGCAAATGAGACATCTCTGCATCTGAGTTATTCTGTCTGGCAGGCCCCTTGGATTCCAGGGACCACAGATCTGATCCATAAATATCTTGTGAGAAGTGGAAAACCCACAGGCAAGAGTACCTTCCTTAGCACTGCTTTGGACAAGGGCACCCTGACCAGTCATGAGGTGATGGTCAACCAGACCACCTTTGCCCAAGATTGCTTGACAAGGCCCACTTCTGCTTCCCTTATCCCTGTAATCTGGGAGCTCGTGTCAACCCTTGAAGACAGGGCTGCAAACACTGGTCCCCTTGTCTTCCCAGTGTAGATGTATGCTGAGCCCTGATTAAAGTTTCTTTCCTGCCTTTCACGTTTACTTTGTTGTTGGATTTCTTTGGAGTGGCTGGGTCTGCTTTATTGGGATCCCAGACTGAGGCCACCAGCTTGTGACTCTGATAACAGCTGCACTCCCATTTGGAGGCTGTCCTATCAGTAATTCTCTCTGCAAGAGTGACAACCACAAGTGTTCAGGAAGCTTATGGTTCAGCAGGAAAATTATAAATGAGAACATATGGACAGATTTTTCTCTTGCTGTTAAATTTATTTATACATGGTGGAAAGTGAGGGATTTACTAGAGAACT